AGAAGGGGGGGGGGGGTAGAGAGTGAGAGAAAATGAAGAGAACCAGGGTGGCAGGACGGAATTAAGGTCGTGCCGGACGGCGGAAACGAATTACAGCGCGCACCCTCCAATTTGCCGTCCAATTTTCGACGGGTATTGTTATATTCGTTAATTTTTCTATGACGTTATCGCGCTCGCGAACGGCCTAATGCCTTAATTAAGGAATCGTCTTAGAGGGTTAAAATGGAATTTGAAGCGGATGAAAATAAAGTATAATTATTAATCATGCGATCCGGTCATTATTTTTCGTCATCGCCCCGTGCGCCATGTTACTTCTCGTTTCTCTCTCGATACTTCAGTCTCTGCGACACCCTAGATTGACCCTCCCATTGCGCAGTAACTCAATCAAAAGCGATCCTGTGTTTTCAGCCTGAGGTCTCGGTCGAAGGTCCCAGCCGACCCGGACGACATCCCCGATCGATCATCCCCGATCACTTTGATCAGCGTTCCAGGTAGCCCTGCGACAGGAACCAGTGTGAAGCACGTGTCGTTGCATAAGTTCAGGAAACGATACAGCCACACGCGCGTCCATGGACCAAGCTAACTACGTGTGCTCCGGATGAAAGGCGTCTGGAGGTGACGACATAAGAAAAGTCTAAGAGCGTCCCGAGATACAGAATCAAAAAGCAAGAAAGGATCCTTCGAGAAGTGGAATGCATTAATGCAGAATCAAAGGGAAGGGAAGAAAGTGGGCATCTCCTCCACGGGTCGGCATGAAATGTGGATTAAGGGCGCAAAGGGGAAACTAGGAAAAAAAAAAGAGTAGTCCGAAGAATATAAAGGCGGGGGCGAGGAGGGCGAAGGGGGCGAAGAGGCAGGAGGACGGAGAGAGGCGAAATGCAGACTCGGCCGTATGAATATATAAACGGCAAAATAGAGATTATGTGTAACTGGAGTCCGCGCTGGAGATCAATACACATAATAGAGGCTATCTATAGCACACACAACCCGTGCTCATTTACTTAATTGTGTTCTATACCGTATTACCAGGGCGCTGCGGGGGCCGGTGGGCGTCGGCGGGCGTCGGCGGGCGTCCGTGGATGTGAACCGGCGCACGTGTGCGCGTGTGCGCGTGTGTAATATCCAGATAGACGCCAGCACGTAGGTATATTGGCATTAATTTATGTGGAGGGAGGGTGTGGCTGCCAGTCCGATAGGGTTGAGCATCGCGAGGCTTTGTAGCTGCGGCCATCGGAAAAGATATTCCAGCCCTCGAAGGTTCCACCTGCCACCGTTGAGGCGCACGGTGGATTGCCCAACCTTCACTCCGCTCGTAGCCTCAGCCTGGTTGCATCGGAGGCTGTTGCGGCTGAATAGAGAAGGAGAGGAAGAAGCATCGCAAGAATTCCAGAAGAGCAAACGACGCGAGGCGGATGCTGAACAACAAAATGTCGACCGCAATTATGCTGTAATTAACTTGGGAATACGCATTCGTACGTGAGAGAGAGAGAGAGAGAGAGAGAGAGAGAGAGGCGGCGCCCGCGCGTCCGCGTATCCGTCGCGACGCTCACAGGTGGTTGAGGGTTTTTGTATTTAGCGGTTGGCTAGCGCCCTGCGACAGCCGTTTGCACGAGGCTCGTGGCTGCATTATGCACGTTTGCGGCGACGCGAGGGAATTTGAACTGAACCCCTCAAAATCTATTTGGACCTCGTGGCAGCCGTGTACTTGCTTGCTGCGCAGCTCAAACTTTTTGGAATTAATTTTGGGACTGAGC